GTAACAGGAGAATGCCTGGGTCAGGCTACCTGTAGCTGCTGGAAGCCAATTGAATGGTGACAGGAATCTGTAACACACACTTTATTGTCAGAAAACGGGTGATCTGAGAGAATGGGGTATTATACCTTGAAAACCTGTCTGATATCTCATATCAAACTGGCCTTTCTCTAGTGAATGAAACAAAGACAATTAACCATAAGTGCATTTCCCACCACAGCAGCCTATCATGGTTGGTGCCCTCATCTTTGTCATGTCTACAAAGTTGTTACCTCCTTGGTCATCTTAACTGAGGTGTATCCTGTTTTCCTGGGCCTGGAAAAAACAGCCTGTTTTCCTGATGGTGTCCATGTCCAACACTTCTTCAGGTGTCACTGGGAGAAGACTCTCAGTTCAAAATAAGAGTTTCAGTTCAAAGAAAACAGATTATTAATCACATAGTGTTTGCATGTAGTCTATGCTGTGTTTATGTGCAGATACTTATACTTAGTATGGTGCCCCTCCCTTTTTCTCTAACCCCTATTGTAGAGCAACCCCGATACTAAACGGGGTGCCTGACTGTGGGTCCTCACCCACACGCTTAAAAGGACTTATCAATGCTCTACTGCAGGCACACACAAAAGGTTAATAAAAGGTTTATTTACAAGGAAAGGGAAAATGAGAAAATGAACAGCTCAGGGAAAAAAATGGGAGACAAAGTTTTAAATGAGTCCTACCTGATCCGCCGATCAGGAATCCCAAAATGGCGCTCTCAGAGCTGGCCGCCAGCCAGGAGCCGTGAAGCCAGGAGGCGAGCGATAGCGAGAGCCCCAAGGCCCACGTGTTTTGGTTTTTATATCCAACCTGGCTGTCCAACTCTACCCTCAGGTCCCAGCCACCTTTTCTTTGGTGGTGATGGGATTTGTCTTTTCCAATGTCCTAATGGCTTTAGTCTGGAGTGGGGGTGGGGTACACAAAGCCTACATGGAATTAACTTAGGACATCATTTCCCCCTAACACTATCAGTTGCAGTGGAAACAGGACTAGATGTTAAGTGTATTGGGAAAGGGACAGGAATTTGTGAACATTACCAGCGTACTTGTGACAGTCAAAGTACTATGCAAAGTACTTTTTGAGGACAAAAAGTACTTTTTTGAGGACAGTCAAAGTACTTTTTGAGGACAAAAAGATGAATAAAATTTGGTCTCTGCCATTGAGAGTTTAGTTTGTCCACAGGGGAAATGAAACTGTGATAAGTATTCTAAATGGGTTAAAAAGACCAGACAAGGGAAAGAGGAAGAAATTGATTATAGGAGTGCTAGTAATAAGAATAGCTACCATTTGTAGAGTACCCGCCTAAGGCAAGGAAGCCTGCTAGGTATTTTGTTGCATGAACTCGTTTATTCTTCACAATTTAGGTATTGAGATCAAGGACCAGGATTAATAACAGCGAGGATGTTCATATTTGAATACTTATTATTTTGTGCCCAGTGTTGTATTTAATCTTCTGTGTTATCTCATTTAAACCTTACCACAAGTCTGTGAGATGAGGATTATTTCCCTTTCACAGATAAGCAAATTAAGACTCACAGAGCTCAAGATGCTCAGTTAGTGAATGGTGCTGTTGAAATCTGATCCCAGGGATTTTTGACCCTTTCTTTGGGTTTGGGTTCCATCACTTATCAGTAGCTAAGCTGTGTGGGACCTTGAGGCGGCAATACAAGAGGGATCTTTTGGAAATTTGGGTTTCTCTATGTTTACCTAAGTCACAACTCTTTTTGTTTCATAATCTGAGCTTCTAAATTCCGAAAGCATCAAGTCTTAGGACCAGGTGAGTGGCTAGGGCTGCTCTATGATACTCTAAGGTGATGTTGGAAAAGACATGGCAAAAGTAGGCAAAAGAACTGGGTTATAGGGCAAAGTAAGATATAGTCCATCTAGTCTGGGGGTTGGATAGAAGCTGTTTCCTGTGGGGACATACAGAATCAATTCTTGTATCTATCAAGATACAAGATACAAGAATTGATATATTGATCTTGAGAGATAAAAACCTTCAGATGTACTAAAACCTATTGAGGTCACACAGCAGACAGCTGTGTCTCAAGGGAATAGGCATCTCCATGTCTCATTGCTTATTTTAGTAGAAGTGGTTTTTCCAAGAGTGCTCTTTAGACCAGCAGCCTCAGCATTACCTGGAAACTTGTTTGAAATGCTTAGCTCAGATCCACAGAATCAGAAAGTGTGCAGGTGGCGCTCAGCAGTATGTATTAATAAGGATTTGAAGTAACTGTTTTCTGCTCAGGTTTGAAGACTGCAAGGTATCTGCTACATATTATACAATATATGGCAGGAAGAAGAGGGGAGATTCCAGTCCCCTTCTCCCCTATAGAAAGTCATCTCCCTCTTTGTTTCCAGCTGAAAGGTTGAAGGGGCTCTGTGTAACAACCTCCTGAGGTCTACAGCACACTCAGTTATTTGACACAGAGGGGTGTGTTTATGGAACAAATGCTGGCCTGGGTGTGCTGCCAGGTAGCTAGATGGGGCTGTGTCTGGACCCCTGTGTGTGGAAGAGGCAGAACAGGAGTAGAGATGGATCCCATCCCCTCAATCTCCTAACACAGACTGAGCAGCCAGGAATCCAGAGGAGACTTTCTCTTTTTCTTTTTTTTTTTTTTTTTTTTTTTTTTAAAGATTTATTTATTTATTTATACAAGCACTGGGTACAGTCAGAAGCGCGGAAGGGTGAGAGAATTCACCAGAGCCAGAGCCGGGAACAGAACAGGCAGACTGATGAAGTACACTGCTGAGGGTGTTAGGGGGAAGTGATGTCCTGAGTTAATCCCATACAGGATTAACTTTGTGGACTCCACCCCCACTCCAGACTAAAGCCATCAAGACTCTGGGAAAGACAAATCCCATCACCACCAAGGGAGGGTGGCTGGGACCTGAGGGTGGAGTTGGGCAGCCAGGTTGGATATAAAAAACCAAACACGTGGGCCTTGGGCTCTCTCTGGCTCGCAATCGCTCGCCTCCTGGCTTCACCGCTCCTGGCTGGCGGCCAGCTCTCAGAGCGCCATTTTGGGATTCCTAATCGGCGGATCGGGTAGGACTCATTTAAAACTTTGTCTCCCACTTTTCTCCCAGAGCTGTACATTTCCTCATTTCCCCTTCCCTTTGTAAATAAACCTTTTATTAACCTTTCACGTGTGCCTACAGTAGAGCATTGATAAGTCCTTTTAAGCGCGCGGGTGAGGACCCACAGTCAGGCACCCCGTTTTGTATCGGGGTTGCTCTACAACAAGGGGAGCAGTTGGCGGCAGGAGAGGTCTGCCCGCCATGTGGGACCCTCGCCCGGCTGCTGGGGATCGAACTGGCGCTGTAGAGGCTTCGGGCAGCTTTGCAACCCAGCGCTCAACAGCTGCACCACCGGGGAGACCCCAGAGGAGACTTTCCGTACACCATCCCCCTTATCTGTGTTCTTCCCATGTGGGAGCCACAGGGTGTCCAGACTCAGATTCAGAAGGACAGAGGGGGAGAACCCATTGACTGCAAAGTCATACGGAGGTGACCTGAGTGCCCCTGTTTAGGATTTTATAAAATTTATCCTGAAGGGGCAATAACATCTCAGGAGGGGAAATAATAGAACATTATTTGCACTTCAGCAATACCTGCATGTAGGATAGACTGGTGTAAGTCAGAGACTTATCAGGTTACCCACTAGACAGAGTGGCAATGAGGTCTGTGGGTGGGTGGGAATAGAGAACACGAATTGGGATATAAGGCAGGAACGGGAGGAGATAACCCCTATTTGGGACTTGGTGAGTTGCAGATGTAGTGCCAGCATCTTGGTCTCTAAAGACCAGGGATCAGTTGCCTGTATGGTCCCCAGTGCAGAAGAGCGACCATTCTTCTTCTTCCCCAAGGAACTGGGTTTTGGCAGATGGGGGTTCAAAACCCCCCTTAGAATGCAACTTTCACAAGGTTAAGTTTCTGGTTCCCAGCTATGTTTCCAAGCTCCAAAACTATCTGGCACATAGTAGGTGCTCAGTGTACATTTTTTCAATGAATGAATGGTTATAGTCCAAGCCCTCTTTGCTCCACTGTGGATACCCCACCCGAAGGGTCATTGCATCAATAAATCACCTAACCCCAACTCCTCGCACAGTAGGCGCTCAACAAGTTGCTTTCCCTATCCCTTACAGAACATCGGGTTCCTAGGTGATCATAAAAGAGGGGCTTCGGTCCCTCACGTCTTGTCACCTTTTCGCCCACGCAGCCCCCCAGGGGGTCTTTGGGAGCCGGGCACGACCCGGTGGGAGTCCGGCCGCGGGAGCGGAGGGGGCGCGGGGCGCTGGAGAGGAGCCGGGCTCCGGGCTTACGTAAGGCGCGAGTCCCCAGCGGCCGGCCGGGGCTCCGAGTGGGGGCGGGTGCAGGCGGCGCCGCCCAGCGGGATCCGGGTTGGAAGCCTCTCCGAGCGCCGCTTCCCAGCCGAGGTGTGTTTATTTGACTGCCTTGGGTGGAGAGGCGCCGGACTCCGGCTCCTCGCCGCGGGGGAGCGCGTCCGCCAACCCCAGCCGAAGGTGGGCGCGGGGTCGTGGCGCTGGCGAGGGCAGCGCGCCACTGGCATGGGCGGCCGCTGCGCTTCCAGGGGATGTGACAGCCGCCGGGGAGGGGCCGAGGCGCGAACTAAACGCTGCCCACGTGCGGGGGCCGGGGCGGGGGCTCAGTCCCCAAGCCGCCCGGCGTTGCGCGGCGGCTGGGGGCGCGCTGGGAGTCACCACCTCTCCAGGCTTCCCCGGCTTGGTGGAGACTGGCGTGGGGACACCGGCCGCCCGGCTCCCTACTGGGACACATCGTGGGGAGGGAGGTCGAGGAAGGCAACGAGGTGGGACTGGCCGGGTCGACCTCTCAGCCTCTGGAGAGCTGATCACGCCAGGGGCGGGGGCTCGGGAGTGGTCCAGAATCGCTGCGGGGGGGCGAGGGCGGGGAGGCTTAGCCTGGCGCCTTACTCCGCCTTCGAGTCGGCCCCGGAGCTGCGGGAGGGGTTGTCTTAAAAGTCTCTCCTTCCCACTGCAGGGGCTGCAGGCGAGTCCCGGTGCGAGCGGAGGGTGCCAGGCGCAGGGCAAACGAGAAAAGTTCCCGGGGCTTTCCGGGGCCGCCCCCTCCTCGCGAAGGCAATGGCTTCCAAACTCCTGCGCGCGGTCATCCTTGGGCCGCCCGGTTCTGGCAAGGGCACCGTGTGCCAGAGGATCGCCCAGAACTTTGGCCTTCAGCATCTCTCCAGCGGCCACTTCTTGCGGGAGAACATCAAGGCCAACACGGGTGAGGGGGTGCGGGGCTGAGCCGAAGCGGGGTCGGTTTACGCAGGGGAGACACAGTCAGAGAGGGACCTGGTCTCCGTCCCCGGGCGCCCTTCCCCCGCCCGCGTGTGGTCGTGCAGACTCGTACGTGCCGGGGCGCATGCAACCCGCTGCCAGCGGCCGTGCGGCTTAACCGCGCCCCGGAGTAGACCGAGGCTTGCAGGGAGCCAGGCGGGAGGTGCATACGGCTCCTCTCTCCACCCGGACTCCTGGCTCGGGGTAGAAGCTGGTAGTCATCCAGGCGAGGGAGCGCGGACCAGGCAGCGGAAAACCCCAAGCTTTTCTCTCGCTGTGCTTCCTAAGGGCAGAGCCACCGCCGCACCCCCCACCCCGCCCCTGTACGCTCTGCTCCCCTCCCCCGTTCCTAGTGAATCGGGGCGGTCCCTCCTCGCGCCCTAGCCCCCCCTGGCCGAGCGCCGCCCACCTGTGGGAGTCGGGCCCGGCTGCGCGTTGGGGAACCTGTGGAGCCGCGGGGCTCGCAGCCGCGCGCCTCTCCAGCCCCGCCGCGCCGCCTCGGGCCTCTGGGGGAGAGCCTTGGGTGGCTTTGAAAGGCCTGTCTGTTTGCAGCCGCCTTCTAAGGTAAACTCTCACCAACTCCCTCCTCCCCAAGCTGGGGCCTGGCGGTTGGGAGACTAGTAGGAGACTGATAAATTACGTTTTGAATCCAGCTTCCCTGGAAATGGCTTCTGGAGAATGCCTCCCTCGGCTTGCGTGGTGAATTGGGAAATACAGATGAGTGCCTGATCTCTTACTGTTTCAGCACACACTTCTCTCCCCCCACCCCAGGTTCACACCAGCTCCTAATGAATTGGCATTAAAAGGAGAGAGGTAGCAGTTGTACTTCTCCGAGGTACATAACCCCTCTGGGATGTAGATGCTCATAATTAGCAACTCCTTTATGGAAACGAGGTGCTTTACTATTGCAACTGTTCTCATCGGTGTGCAAGGTACTTATTGTCCACGATGGGCTAATTATGCAGGAATCTTCATTGCAGAAACATAGATTAGTTTGGAGGTGGGTGGAGGACTGTTCTGGAATACAGAAGAAAATCTTCAAAGCAAGGAATTAAGCAAATTCAAAGCTAGAGTATTATTCATCATCTAGGCAGTTGTGAAATCACACTTTGGAGTTTCAAGTACATGGTCTGCACCAACCCTATCTCTCAAGAGTTCTGTGTATCAGACTATACCTTGAACTTTATCTTGCAGGTATAGTTACCTCAAGTCGGATTATTTTAATGCCTCATTCAAATGCGTGTTCTGTTTCCAGTGCAGTTGGGCATGAGGGGCATGCCATGTGAGCAGGAAGGCTGGCTGTCAAACCTAAGGATTTGGGCAGAGGTAGTGTGGTGTCTCTTCTCTGTGGTGGGGAGATGGAGGCAAAATGAGGGATGCACAGGGCTGGAGTGGGATTCAGCCTATTTCTTAGCATTCCCTACATTTGCTTCGGTGCCTTGCATCTTTCTGGCCTGTAGGGGCTTCACACTGTCCTGGCACTGGATTAGAGGACTTTCAGACTTTTTTAGACTTTTAAAGCACATGTGATTGGATATGGTTTATTTCTGCATTTTTCTAGTGTTTTTGAAAACTTTCCACTTGCTGTTTTCCCTTATTCTCATTTTACCTTTCCTTTTTCTTGAATTATAGTTTCTATTCTTTCACTCAATTTCATTTATCTTCAATATTTCTCCCTGTACTAAGAAGTGAGAGTGAAATGTTTATTACTTTAGGGATCAAGTAGTTTTTGCATAAACCAATTTGAAAAGTGTACCAGGGAAAGAAGAATTTAAAAAAAAGGAGCAATTTGCTTTGAAAGTGACTTGTTTCTATTGGACTTAGGGGGTGTGCTTGGATTATTTTTCTATGTCAGAAGGTCTAAGGATCGTACAGGCTCACTGCCTGGCAAATAAAACATTCCACAGTATTTATTTTTCTGTTACCTGCTGTTTGTTTTCAGCTAATTTCCTAGTAGAGAAACACAACAATCCCACTGTATGTGCCCTTTTATAGCTGAAGGTTTGAAGGGGATGATGAAGCACAACAAAACCCCAGGAAATAAAACCTTGGTAGGAATTTCATTTGGAAAGTAGCTCAGGCCATCTGCTTCAGCCTTGATTCAGGCATTCTTGTGTCCATATTGCTGTTCTGTAGCCGCTGCATGCTGAAAATCTGTTCCTCCAGGGAAGGTGCTGGTCATTGCTTCTGGGCAGTCTTCCCTCACCTGCCATGGCAGAATACATAACTTTTCTCTGTGCATAGCTTGTTGATTCTGTTGCTGCTGTCACATACAGTTAAAATGCAGTCAAGCAAATGAATTTCTGATGCATCCACTAGATAGGTACTAAATTCCTGCTATGTGTCAGTGTGGGTGCTGGGGACTCTAGCAATATTTAAAATAATCTACACACCCGTTTGTACCTTCTACCCTCACCGTGTTGTGGTTCCCACTGAGAACCTTAGAGGACAGGCATCCTGCAAAGTACTAATGCAGAAAGGATGGATTAGTCTCACAGCGTTTCACCCATTGGCTCTTCCTCCTTGGCTTCTGGGAGCTGTGCAGGCTGAAATTTACCAAAGACCTTATTTGAAGACCCACTCCCAAATCTTTGGCTGGCTGGCTGGCTTTCTTTTCTTTTCTTTTCTCTTCTCTTCTTCTCTTCTCTTCTCTTCTCTTCTCTTCTCTTCTCTTCTCTTCTCTTCTCTTCTTTCTCTTCTTCTTTCTTTCTTTCTTTCTTTCTTTCTTCTTTCTTTCTTTCTTCTTTCTTTCTTCTTTCTTTCTTTCTTTCTTCTTTCTTTCTGGCTGGCGGCTGGCTGGCTTCTTTCTTTCTTTTCTCTTCTCTTCTCTTCTCTTCTCTTCTCTTCTCTTCTCTTCTCTTCTCTTCTCTTCTCTTCTCTTCTCTTTCTTTCTTTCTTTCTTTGTCTCTCTCTCTCTTTTTTTTTTAAAGATTTATTTATGCATACAAGAGCTGGGGTACAGGACTGAGATGCGGGGATGGGGGGAGAGGATTCACCAGAGACAGAGTGGGGAACAGAACAGGCAGATTGACTGAAATACACTGCTGAGGGGAGCAGTGGGTGAGTCTGGAGAGGTCTGCTGTGCCGTGTGGGTTGCTCTCTGGGCAGCTGGGATCGAACTCGTGCTGCAGAGGCTGCGGATTGCTTCATAGTGCTGTGCTTAACCCCTTGCGCCACCAGGGAGGCCTCTGGCTCTCCCTTTCTTTAGCATATTTCATAAGTAAGTAGTCGAGGGAGTTCCAAGATAGCCAGGAGCTGGGTTCTACACTCTGTTGCACAAAAAAAGATAGCTTTGTGTACTCCGGTATATACATGCACATGCACACACGTGTATAGCATGCATATACATACTCAATCACTTGGTTGGCATTTAATAGTGAGTCCCATTAAAACATTTTATATTTAGTGACTGTTTTTGTTGAGTGAGAGTGACTGAACTCTTCCATTGAAGGACATGAGAATCCTATTATAAGGGTTTGACAAAGGGTGGTATTTGTAAAAGTCACATTATTCTGCATTGGACTTATCTCAAGTGTAGAAAAACTGGCAAATTTCTACTTGGAAGTCTCGGACTTGATTGAGAGAAAAGATGTTCAGGAATAAACCTGTTTCTGTTCTTAATTAATATTAACTGCTACTCTTGCTGGGGTGTTGGAGATGGGACTAGCATTTGAAATTAGACTATGGGCTGAGTTTCTCTTTTGAAAAGATGACCTAGTTCAGAGGGCTCAGGTTTTTTGAGTACTCATTAAGTATAAATATGTCTTTTATGTAAAACTTCTGAGCATTGGCGGCTAGAGAGATTGTATTAGAGAGGCTTGAGAGGCAAAGGTCAACCATGGAACTAAAATAACGTTGAACAGTCAATTTTTTTTTAAAAGATCTATCCATTTATGCATACAATAACTGGGGTACAGGCCAGAGGCGCGGAGGGGTGAGAGAATTCACCAGAGACAGAGTGGGGAATGGAACAGGCAGACTGATGAAATACACTGCTGAGGGGAGCAGTGGGCGAGTCAGGAGAAGTCTGCTGCGCCATGTGGGTTACTCCCTGGTCGGGGATCGAACTCGTGCTTCAGTGGCTATGGTTAGCTTCATAGGTTGCATCTTAACCCCTTGTGCCACCAGGGAGGCCCAGTCAACTTTTTTTGTAGATTATATAAGTCTTGATTTATTACAGGATTTCTAGAATATGCTACATGCAATTATTTTTCTTGTCAAGGGTCTGACAAGTTATGAGGTATCTCTTCAGGTCCCAGGTCTTCTTCATTTCCCCTGATTTTTTTTTCCTGGTTTCTTGTAGGTTTTCACATATTTGAAGAGCACTATTTCTAAATTCAGTAAGGTGTTTCATCAGTAAGTCTGCCACAGTTATGTGCACAGCAAAATCTAAACATTCTTCTAGTGTGGTCATTTTTTTTTTTAAGTAGCTTTTTCTGATCAAGGTAGAAAATTTGAAAAAATGACAATTATGGAAGAAACTGAAGAGACAAGTAAAAATTACCTGTCACCACCTTGATATAAACATTCTAACAGAAGTCATTTTTTTCTTTCCTGTGTGTTTACCCTGCTATCCCCAGCAAACTAAGTTGTCATTAGATTAGCTGATCACCTTTTTCCCTCCCACTAATACTGCAATGTATTGTGAGCATTTTCCTGAGTTCTTAAAACTTCAAAAATATTTAAGATACTTATATAATATTTTACTCATTCAGCAGATGCTTTTTGAGTGTCTAAATATTCCTTAGATAGGAGAGTCCACAGTGCATTGAGGTGACTAGGGTAGTGGGGGCAGAAGATAAGCACACATGGAATAAACAGGATAGTACAGTTGAGTGAGGTGAAAGGTCCTCAACCCACAACCCCAAACCTGTAGTCGGAAATCTATGCATAATTTTGACTTCCCCCAAAACTTTACTAATTGCTTGATGTTGACCACAGCCTGGT